ATTTCTCCAACACTCTAGCTCTCTCACGTTTTGGTCTTAGAGGAAATAAGGGATGATGCAAGACTAAGCTTCAAATGGCCCACTAGATGGAAAAAGGGTAAATAAAGCCAACTTATGTAGTTTAACATTATTAAATCTAGTTTAATCATACCAAATCACATTTCAATTAAATATACCATAAAATTACATAAATTCTAACGAGCATAAAATATTAAGCAATTTTGAATTCGACCGCCGATAAGGCCTTCAATTAGCAGTTTAAACATAAAACACGAACAGATAGTTCATTGACAAACAGATAGAAATGCATTCAAACTAATACGTTCAATCAATCAGTTCAGGATTTCAGTCAATCAGTCAGTTAACATGCTTAATCATGGATTAGCACTAATCAGTGGTGATGGTTGTCACAGTCACAATCTCATTACATTGAGAAAATACTTGACAAATTCAGCAAAGATGATGATCATCTTGCTAGAACACCTGTAGATGTTAATTTGTATCTTTCTAAGAATGTACAGAAAAGTATTTCTCAATTAGAGTATGCCCAAATTATTGAAAGCTTAATGTATTTGATGAACTGCACTCGCCCAGATATAGCTTATGCAGTATGTAAATTAAGTAGATATATGAGTAATCCAGGAGTAGAACACTGGAAAGCAATTATAAGGGTTCTGAGATATCTCTGATTTACTCGTAACATCGGGCTTAATTATACAAGATATCCAGCAGTACTTGAAGGATACTGTGATGCAAATTGGATATCAGATACTATAGACTCAAAGTCCACCAGTGGGTATGTCTTTACTCTTGGTGGGCGCAGCTGTATCTTGGAAATCTTCCAAACAGACTTGCATTGCTAGGTCTACTATGGAATCAGAATTCATAGCATTAGACAAAGCTGGGGAAGAAGCATAATGGTTTCGCCACTTCCTTGAAGATATTCCAATATGGCCTAAACCGGTGCCTACTATATGCATACATTGTGATAGTCAATCAGCTATAGGTAGAGCACAGAGTCATATGTATAACGGTAAGTCACAACACATTCGTTGTTGACATAACACCGTGAGACAACTACTCTCTAATGGAATTATTTCCATAGAATATGTTAAGTTTAAAGACAACATAGCGGATCCACTAACCAAAGGGTTAGCAAGAGAGTTAGTTGAGAATTCATCAAGGGGAATGGGACTCAAGCCTATTAAATAAGAGTTACCATAATGGCAATCCAACCTAGTTGACTGGAGATCCGAAGATCTAGGTTCAAAGGGACAATCGAGTTGTAAATGACTCAAAAGGATCACTGGTGAGTCCAACTCCTACCCATTTCTATGATGAAATAGTGATGTCTGCAGCGTTTTAGGTTAAGTAATACTTTTAATGATTCTTATATCTAGGTAAACCTAGTGGAGTATGGCAGGATACTCTTCATAAGAATCACCTATGTGAGTGTGAACTGGGCCAGTTCTATGAGATTTGTGAAGGGCTACAATTCTCTAGAGCACTCATGAAAGACCAAGTTGTTCAGGGCCAAAATGAACACAATAGTGAGAACTAAATTGTGTCTGGGGATATACTGTGTGAGTTCTATTGTCTTGGTTTACACAAGCGACTGAACAGTTCAAGACATCTTGTTCACTGGTTAGCTAGTAAATCCGATAGTGTCTCACAAGGGAAGGTTCAAAGCCAAAAGCTATCTATCCTTTGCAGAATATTTCCAATTTCTGTACTCTCTGTAATTAGATCATGTTGTTGCATTTTCTCTCCGTCAAATTCCATTCATGTGGGGGATTGTTGGAAAATTGGTTTATATAGGCTTATTTTGGGCCGACTTTGAGCCCAAAATTAAGTGGGCCCTAAACGTCTTTTGGGGTGGGTCCGAAGAGCTGAAGTGTTCCTTGCTGCGTGGCAAGTCACATGGTGAAGACGGTTCGTCAAAAACCATTTATGAGTGAATGGGAACATGACGTCGTTTTCTGATTCCTGGAATAGGAAATTTAAGGAAGTAAATGTAGGTTTCTTTGGAAAGGGTTGTCCCACACTGAAACTTTAAGAAAGTTTTGTTGAGTTTATAAGCTCTAGCCTACAATACTTGGGTTGGCCCCAAGGGGCACCCCAAGTTTGTAGAAGGGAGGAGTTATGGACAAAGTGAACCTTAGCTCAAACCAACACACGCGCGCGCGCGCCGCCGCCGCCATCCGTTCGGCCGAACCGAGCCGTGCCGAGTGTGGGTTGTGGATCGGGTTGGTTCTAATATTAATTTTTTGGACAAAATTTATTTAAATTTTCAATAAAATTAAATTCAAAGTTGTGCCAAATAATTGAATTATTCTTCTGTCCATTCAGTCCGGAAATTCCAAACACGTTTTAATCTGTTAGACAGTTTCAAATTTCTTAACTGCCCAAACAGTTTTGAAACAGTATTTATATCTGTTGTAACAGGTTCAAACCTGTCCGAAACTGTACAGCAGTTACAAACAGATCTGTTTGAATTTCAAACAGAATCTGTCCAGTCTGTTTTGCACCTGTTTGGGGCAGCCTTTAGTTGCCTATAAATACCAACACTCCAGCAGTGTTTTCCAATCCGAAAAATCAGTCTACATCTTATATACTGTTGTCCAAAATTTTTCTCTTGTGCATTATTCTTCATTTTAATTTTAGAATAAATATTCAGAGAGTTAGAACACAGGTTTGGTTCGCCGAACAATCTGTTTTGGAGTGCTACTACAAATTGTTAAGATCATTGTATCCTGAGAGATAGACGCCACTCAACCGTAAGCACCGTAGCGGGACGAATCTATCTTAAGGACAGAGTGTCACACACTTTTTCAGTGGGGGCTAAAAAATATTCCTAGGCAAGGAAAGAGCTAGGGAGGTAGAATTTTGGTGTAATAGAGTTTAGGATTCTTGCACTCTGTTTTTTTGCATTTTTTGATATTTGGTGCGACAGAAAACGAAGTCAATAGAAAACAAGCTGATTTGGACAGAAAATGTTTTTCGCTATTAAAAATTTTTCGCCAAAACAAACAGAACATTAGTGGCAAAAGATTTTCAACCTTTTTGCTCTACTAATTATATCCCCATATATCTTTTGTTGACCATTACTCCTGTGCTAATTTCTTCGTCTTGTTGATGTAGCTGCACTGCAAGAGCAAAGAAATGCTTCTGCAGTGGGCATGGATTCTACCGTGGGAGAATCATCTCCCCCTGACCGGTTGCAACTGAACGATAAAATTGGTGAGAACTATGAGCCTCTCGGCCTACACATTTGGCAAGTGCCTATTGAAGGTGAGTCCCATCGGGGCCCAACCCCGTCATTCATGAACGGAAATTTTCCCAATGAAGCCGGTACTGAAGCAGCTCCCAATTTAGAGCACCAGTTTATTCCAAGTTTTACTGAAAGATCTGCGGCACATGAGAACAATCAACAGGGAAACACAGAATCAAAAAACCTAGCAGCATTAAGGAGTGGTTCTGATGAAGAGATTTCTGTTTTGTTGCAGTTGGGCGAGCCAGAACCAAAGAGAAGAAAGCAATCGGATTCTGATTCTCCACTAGGCGTAGAAGACCAAAAACCCAAAATGAAATAAAGGTAACTGCCTCGTGTTGAGAATTCTTTTGGAGAGTTGAGTTAAGATTCTCGGGTCTTTAATTTTGAATTGTATCTGAAATTTGAAATTGCAGGGAGGAACCCGGGTTGAGCCTCCGAGTAGATAAATTATTATTTATTATTTGATACTTTTAGCATATCTTGGTCAAATTACAAAATTAGGTTACATAAGTGGGGATATACAGCATTTGAGGGGGGGAAATGTACATTTTCTTCTTTGATTTGTATAATTTTGTTCAAAGTTTATTTGTACCATAGACACCGCGCGGGGGGGAATCCAATTTTACCCTTTGGATGGGAAAGTGCTTTGGTGAAATTGGTGGCAAAATAGTGCCCTCTTTGTTTAAATGTTACTGGAGACAAATTGCAGTGAAATAAAGAATGTGGCCTTGCCAATAATCTGTGCTCTTTATTATTTGGTGCAGAAATGGTGTTTCTATCTTGCATTATTATTATTATACAGTTAATGCGACAATTTTTAATTTGGAAAAATATTCGGTCTTATTTTTTTCACGAACTTCTCATGGAGTACTATTAACACTTGATGGGGAGAGGGTTGATACATGTACTAGCAGTGAGTGCGACAGACATTGCCTTGGAATTGTGTATTGGGATTTTTAGGTGATTTGATGAGGGAGAAAGATGAATTGAATTTGAAAGTAGTTTATACAATTATGTATTGGATGTGGGGTTTTAAATTAACCGAATTGTAGAATTGACAAAAAAAATGTGAGCAGTTATACTTTTATAAGTATTCTTGAAATAAAATAGATTACAAAAAAAAGAGCCTTTCGAGCAAATAATTGCAACCCCTCAACCCCCTCCCTTGTTGGACTACCCTTGCAACACCTGACCATCGTGACCAGTCTTAGACCATTGCAAGTAGCTCTCTCTCTCTCTCTGTCTCATGATTTTTGGTTTGGGTTTTGAAATCTGAGGGGATTGAGGTAGAGGTCTGGGTGTAATGTAGTAGCTAATAGGAAGGGCTAAGGTGGAAAAAGGTTGGGTGTGGCAATGCTGGCGGTAAGGAAGGGGGTTGGTGGTGGGCAACAGGGTTAGTGAAGGGTGGGGAGAGAGGCTGGGAGTGGCAGTGGTGTTGACGGGAGAGGGGCTAAGGGTGAAGTGGAAAAGAGTTGTGTGGTGCCGGTGGCAGCTAGGGAGGAAGTTGGGGGTGAGCAATGGGATTCAGTAGAGGGTGGGAGGGGTTGGGTGTGGGGGTGGTGAAGGGGCTAAGGGTAGGTAGAGTGGGTTGGTACAAGGTGGGAAAAGGGCGAGAAACAGGGTTGAGGGGCTAGGAAAGGCAGGGAGGGTGGGGATGGGACTGGGAATGGCAATGGCAAGGTCGGATGGGTAAAGGGTGGCCAACAACTAGAGAAGGCGAGAGAAGGAAGAGAACGAGGCACACACAGGATATATGTAATAGAATATATATATATACAAATAGAGTTGCGTGTCACTCTCATTCGAGTACACGATGTTTAGGGGGTTCAAACACATTTATATACACATGGGCACACACAAACAGTCCAACCCCGAGCACAGTGCACCCTCTCTTCCACATTGTGATATAACAATTCAACCCCTATACACAGTTTAGGCACTTGCTGTCACACTCACAGCATTCAGTTCAACATGCTGCCTACCCTCACTCTGAGGGTGAACTATGACAGTTGCACAAGCCTCTTCTTGCATATGCTGACCATCTGCTTCATTAGAGACACAGATCGAGCTGACCAATGGCTTAGTTTCTTCGTCATCTTGCCCATCCACGATGATTTCCCACTCCTCTTTGAGCGAAGTTACTTGTAATCCCTTTTCTTGGTGCTTTTCAATCTCGAATAAGGTGGGTAGAATCACATAATCATTTACAGGATTGTAGAAAGGATCTGGATCCCCTGCATTCAGCCAATGTTGAAGTATCCGGAAGACATGACGGTCACACAGGATTCCTCTATGCTCACCGGGGACTCCAACTCTTGCTTCTGCATTAAGCCCATCCGCCTGTAGGAAAGAAACAAAATAGCAACTAAGAGATTACTATTTCAAAGATCCAAAATATGTTGCCATGTTAGTGCTCCACACATTTGACAGCAGATGACATTCACACCTCTAATTATTGTTACTCCACAGCTTAGAACCACAATAAACTCACAGCCCAGCTAACTACTCTTTATATTGACTGTTGTTTTGTTACATAACAATAACACAACAGAAGTTTCACTTCTGTGACATCTTCATATGCCTTGGGCAAGTCTTTTTCATTTACCAACACATTCATTGTAGGTGTTTGCTCTTATGTGACACAAATGTCCACAACTTCATTCACATCTAACCTCCTTTCAGCATATTAACTAAATCTTGTCCAGGGATGGCAAAATTCTCTGACCCGATTCTATTTGTTCCAATCCGATTTTAATATAAATGGTTTGAGAGAGCATTGATTGGGTAGGGGAAAGGTAGGTATGTCAAAACTGTCAAACTTATAATAAAGTACAAAATTGTATCACTAAAATAATTGAGTTTAAAATTAACAATTTGTGCGCGAAACCAGAAAACCCGATCCGTTGTCCAGTTATTCTACAATCAGAAGTTGAAAATCACGGGGATGAACTACAACTGATATCTGAATATCATTCCATGACAAAATTTGACAAATTGACAAACGACATGCACCAGTTCTGAAAAGATTGTTTTGTTGTTAACAAGCCACAAACCAAACTGACTTCTAAAACAGCTTGTGTCATGTAACAAAATATAACTAACTCATAGGGTATCGGATTACTGGCAACAGTAAATACCTTTGCAGATTCCACAGGAACTGTCCCATCACCATCAACGCATACATATCTACCCTGAAAATTTGCAATCAAAAGCTACTGTAACTAACTAGTCAATAATGCTAGCAAGGATATAAGGCACGTATATACTTTTTCTTTTGATAGGTGCAAATGCAGGGGTGTGATGCACATACACCATTCATTCAAAAGCAGACAGGCATCTCATAAAAAAGCACAATGCATTGATACCTATATCAAGATTATTATGATCTCAGCTTCCAGTGAAGGATTATTTACCTGCAAAAATGGTAATTGTTGTAAATCTGTGACGGGTGCCCTCTCAGTTCCATAACTGCCAAACCAAAATACAAATTAGTCATATCCTTTTGCCAGAATATAGGCATTCAAACAACAACCTATTTTCTCCTACTTCATAGTACAGAAGCCGTTAAATTTAACCACTATGAATCGCAGCAAAAAATACAAGAAAACTTAATTCAAAGGGCTCAAAATAAGTTACCACACACTATGAGGTGTCTCAAGATTTGTCGCATATATATTGTAGAATTTAACTTGAGGTGGAACCTTAGCAGAGGACAAGACCTTTCGAGTCTCGTTAGCCCATTTCAAGATCTCTAAGTTGAAGGGTAACGGGATATCCACCCCATCATAATTCACCTGGAATGTGCAACGCAAGATTAGTACCTTTATAGGTTACCTATGTAACATGAATTCAGACATGAGTATTGGATGTAGGTGTGAAGCGAAGTCCCACATCGCCTAAGTACTAAAATAATATTAAGCATATAAGTGTAAGGGCACCCTCACCTTAATAGCTAGCTTTTGGGGTGAGTTTTATCCAAGATCGTGTAACATGGTATCAGAGCCAAGAGTACTAAAGGATGGGTAGGGTGCGTGTCCCTGGCCCACACGCCGCAAGTACTGCCGAGTGAGCACGCTGGGCGTGCAGGAGGATGTGAAGCGAAGTCCCACATCACTTGAGTACTAAAGTAATATTAAGCATATAAGCGTGAGAACACCCTCACCTTAATAGCTAATTTTTGGGGTGTGTTCTACCTAAGACCGTTTAACAGTAGGTCCATATCCAAGAGTATTGAGATATGTATCCAAAAATTGGATATGGGTAGGCATCATGGACACATGCATATTCCATCTTATATAATATTCTTCGATGATATTGTAAATTATGTAAAAATGTACTTCACTTAAACAAGATTTAGGAAAAATATGAAATTGCTCTCTCATTCATGTGAGAGGCTAAAAATGTTTTTTTACTAGCAAATTTGAGTTTCTTCTTCTTCAAACACTCTGAAAAAATAGAGGATTCAAGTATCTATATTGCGTACGGGTGTCGGGCACATATCTTACATTCTTACCGAAGTCATAGTCCATGTAACACGAATAGATGCACATCTTAAAAGTCTATTGGTACTAATCTAACTTGATTCATTACAAGAGTCAGCATAATACGGATCACGATTTTTCATAGAAATACCAATTAAAAAGAATACACATCGCGCATGTTTTCTCTACCATGGTATTCAGGGCACTATTCTAGATTCTGGTTAAAATTCAATTTTGAACATGTTGAAACTTCAATAAAATATCCCTGAAATCACATAAATGCACGACAGTTTGTTCATTACCAGAGATTTTGGTAGAAAAAATAAATCAGAAATATTTTCAGACTTTCATTGTCCTATAAAAAACTGACCATGAAAAGAGCATCACAAAATTAAGGGTATTTGAACTTTATCTGAAATCCATAGCTCACCGTGTTGCTTGAAAGGGCTTCCATAAAAATTGGCACACTTTCTTCTGGGGGATAGGACTCCAGCATAACATAGGAATTTCCATCACTATCACAGTTCTGTCTCCAAAATTCTAGAAGTGGAGTGTGATCCCAGTGGAAATCACGAGAAGCCATCAATTCATATATTGAAGGACATTCAATAAGCTGAAACATCACAGCTCATCAATGATTAATCCATAAAAAATTACCAGAGAAATTTAAATTCAAAACTAAAAAACAATAAATGACAAGATTAGAAAAGGAAATTCTTCTCTTTTATTCATGAAGTAAACAACAGCACAGTTTAATTCACAAAGTCGAATGCAGAATAAGCAGTGCAAGTACAAGTGTCTAAGTAATAGGGTCACTTGGACAGATCATTTTCTCAAAATATTGTACAACAGATGCATTCAAAACTCAGATAAGAAACGCAATAACATTTTGTTCCATAGTAGTGCCCAACTCAACAAGATGTAATCATGCAATCCCATAGGCCCAAACATTCATTTAATAACAGGTTATTTCTTCTTGGAGGGTATAGCAGATGAATTAGACAAATGCCCAGGAAAACTTTGGTTGAAGTGACATGAATATCTTAAACTTAACTAATGATATGACTGAATAAAACCAATTGGAGCAAATATCTATGTAGCCGACATCAAGTAATTGGGACAAAAGTTTGTTGAGTTGAAATTACGTGTGTTCCAGAAGCCAGAGTGGATACAAAAAGCCAACCAAGAGCCCTTGGGGTTGGAATGGATATTAACAAGAAGTATATATATTCACAATTATCTGCCTACAAAGGTATAGCAGATTCTTCTCCATCATTTGTCTACCATAGTGCAGATGACCTTCAATATTTCTCAATGCCAAGAATATCATGGATAGAGGAGGTGAATTTTGGAAAAATATTTACAATGCAATATTCTGACTACAAGTCTACAATAAATCAACAAGCTGAAATAACACAAGTTTTACAAATTCGAAAATTGCTGGAGTCATACCAGTTGATGCATGCTCCATTTTGATATGAAAAAGTTCTGCTCCCACCCTTCCACGAATGAAATACCATTCAGAAAGGTAGACGTAATATATCCAGGCGCACCTGTCAACACACAATCATTTTGAATCAGACCCCCTTTGTGATACAGCTTCTAGATTTCTAATGAACAAGATGTTTAACTTCAAACATGACCTTCCCTCTACAAACTAGGTATTGTTCTCATTGCAAGATGCAAATGAGGATTTTACATATGGGTCAGATATCTTTTAATTTGGGTGATATGGGTCAGCCCTGTAAGGGTTTCTTATTTAACCTCATGGAGATGACCGGGGGGGAAGGTTCTTTCATAATTGGTTTTCTAGTTTGGTGAAAAAAATGACAAAAATAAAAAAAATTGACAAAAATAAAAAAAATGCTCGTTTTTTTCATATGGTTCTCCTTTTTAGGCAGAAATAATTTTTGAAAATTCAAAAAATCTTTTTAATGTTTAATTTTGTCAAACTAGTTTCTAATTTTTTTTAAAAAATATGCAAAAAACAAGTTTTGAAAACTCAATCAAACAGACCCTGGAATCTTGCAATCACAAATTCTCATTATCTAAATAAACTCTTCTGTCCTTAGCAGCACATGACATTGAACTCCTTTACACACGACCCCAACGAACACGTACAAATCGATAGTTGAAACAAAAAATTCACACTTGAATTGTGGCAAGGAAATTTCCCACATGCCAATAATAAGTGAGGCTATTATACATGAAGAATTAAGAAGCACGAAACAGTTGGCTGTAAGAAGATTAACAAAGTCCTTAAAGAGAGGATTTGACAATATTATTTCTTCCGATATTTTTTATTGTTAAGATTATAAAATTGGTTCTGCATATATTGATTCTGCTTCTCGGGACATATCAAGTTGCAACCTCAAAGCTAGTATCTTTGTCAACTGGTATGTCATCACTTACCCTGGAATGGTGCAGCAATTGCTATCCAATTCTTCACATATTTTTCAAAGATCTGCGGAACAAGATTATCATTAGAAGATTACACACTTATACATCTTAAAGAAACACCAGTTCACAATGTGCACCACAAACCCACATCAAATGGTTAGTGGGAAAAAGAAAGAAAGAAAGCACAAAAAAGAGTAACACAAGAAATGAGGATTGAGTAATGTGGAATGTGGAATTTTACATCACTGTGCAGGCACATAAAGCATTTCACCAGAACACCCCCCATTGAATGACTTATTATGTTTATCTTTTTGCCTCCTGAAGCAGTAAATATGGACTCCAGTTTTGCTGCCAAGCTATCCATTGTTTCCTGGAATCTAAAAGGAAGATAGAACACTTTAAACTGCTTTACAAGTATTATGACAACAGCATTATAGAGTATATTTTAACTTATCAAAAAAAAAAAAAAATCTAGAAGTAAATTTTAATCTAAATAAAAAAAATACAATTTATTTAAGTTTACTCTATATAAACAATACCTCTTAGCAGCATAAATAATCAGGTGGTGACCATTGTAAAGAAGATATTTTCACTAATCAAAATCAGCTTAGGGCTAGTTTGGCATGTACTAAATAAGTCAAAAAGTCACTATCTTATTATTTAAATCACATCACCTCTCTCACACATCACATCAAACCCAACCCAAACCCAACCCAAACCCACTAATAAGTCAAAAAGTGCACTTTTTTAGGACATCCCAAACCAACCCTTAGTCTCCCATCCAATACTCAGAAAGACATTACATGTAACAACAGGGTTGAACACAACCCCTCATGCAAAGAAACAGTGGGAAAAAGCTGAGAGGACTAATGTACAGTAAACTGATTTAAATTGGCATACTTCATCCATAAACCTTTTTTTATTATTTCAAAATACTGATAAACTCTAAAAAAAAGTAAAGGATAAGCTTGCATACTAGAAGCGGTAGATTCCCGCCTCCATTTTTACTGCCTCCTTTGGTGAGAAGTTTCCTTCCCTTTTCTAAAATGTCTGATTGGTCTGCTCTGCAATTTTGGGCAAATTAAGTGCAAAAAAAAAAAAAATACACTCAAAAAACAACGCCCAATTAGTACACATTAATGTGTGTTTGGGAGGGAAAAGATGGGGTATACACCTAACCTTTGGCATAGTGCACAAAGTGGCTGCCCTGTGACTTAAACCCATAACCTCAAGGATATTAGGCCAAGATTTTACCATTGAACCAATGGTCACCCCTCAAAGTAAATAGTCCCTTTTCAGCCAAACTTCTACAAATCATACTTCAAACTTTCTTATCCAATGAATTTTTTCTGGTGGTTGTTTAACTCTAATAAAATTGTCAAAATGCATTCAAGACAAGCTCATCAACAATTCAGATCAGATTAGAGTCTAACAAAATTCAGCATGAACCCGACCAAAACTGATCTTAAAGGTCATAGAAGATAAGAAATGAATTACGACCACTTGTCACATCTTTGATCAAATAACAATTATGTATTAATTGATACTACACAAAGGCACCCCTAGAGTCTGGACTATCACTTGTCCCCATATAAATATATAAATAGAATTAACAGCAGAAACGAGAAACAAAAACATTAATCAAAATTCTAATACATTGTGGTTAACTGAACCCGCAGCCCAGTAGATACCTGTTACTCTGGCGGAAATCATATCCAAAACCAAACAGTGTTTTCCCCTCTTGGAAACCCCATTTGAGCATTTCAACTATCATGTCGTGGAAATAATATACACAATCACGCCCAATGACCTGCGGAAAAATGTTAAAAAAATACAATTAAAATTCATCAAAAGTTCATGTTACCGGTTCCAAGAATACTTGATTAATGGAAGGGACAAGTAACTAAAATCAGAGTATAGTTGTTCGTTATGGTCAACTCAAGCAGTTCTGAGGTCAGTAAGATGCAGAGAAAACAGTTAAAGAATTAGTTGCAAAAGAGGACATCAGATAATGAATAGAGAGCCCCAGAAAGACAAAATCAAATTGATTCTGAAACAGGATATACTGAAAGATGCACAGATAAACAGTTAAAAGAAGTACCATTTTGGCAAACTTTGGCTTTTTTGGCTTTTTAGTCACATCACATCTCTACTTTTTTACATTTTTTTTTTTTTTTCAAAAAAACCCAAAAAGCCAACTCTTAACCTATTTCCCAAAACAACCAGACATAATCAGATAGTGAATGGCAAGCCCAGACAGATAAAATAAAAATAATTTCTGATACGATATAGACCCTAGCTTCTTCAAGTGAAGGCAGCCAACATGCATGAATGAGTTAGGAGACAATACGCAACGCACCATATCAGGATCCAAGATGTCAATTGCATGGAGCCCGTATCTGTCTTCAGGAACCGCAATCTTTGTCTTGGGATCCAAAGACACAGTTTTACCTGTTTCACATGAAAAAATAATTTAAAAAAAACTAGTCCCCTCATTCGACCTACACCAAAAGCATTGGTCTCTCATTTGACATGTGCAAGACTGATTGTTGTGTAGAAAAGAACGCGAACATATCAATGCATAACACAAATAAGCAGCCACTACATGGTAAAGCATTCTTGATAGAATGCTGAGACAAGAATTCTCATATCACCAACCCCTCCCAACGTAAAATTCTGCTATAAATTTGCAGTATGATCATCATCCATCAAAAGATACCATCAAGCAACTTCTTTTTCCTTATTTTTTTTCTCTTTTTATGATTCATAAGGACAATGGTGTTCTATAGGACAGAATGTTCGGCATCTAAGAAACAACGAATTCGAAAAATTAGTGTAGCTGATATGAGAATGCTTAGAAAGATATGTTGTCATAAGACTAAGATAGATAGAATTAGAAATGAATCTATTCGTGAAGGTGGTGGAAGTAACACTAATAGAAGATAAGTTGAGAGAAAATAGACTAAGATAGTTTGGTCATGTACAATGTAGACCTCCAAATGCGAAAATAAGGAAGAGTGATATGATCGCCATAACTAAAAATGTTTGGGGGCAAAAACAACTAAATTGACATGGGATGCGATTATGAATTTATTTAATTTAACTAAGCATATAGCTTTTTGACTGAGCAGAATGGTGGAAAAAGATTCATGTAGCCGACTTCAGTTCTGAACCCAAACAGACCAAAACTCAAAATTTTGATACAGCATACTCCATAAAAAAATTATGCTTCAATGATGCATTAAAGCTGTATAATTGCAGATTATAGTTAAGCAAACAAACTAACCACAAACGAATCAATAAGCTTGCTTGAACTTTCTGATCAGTTATAATTAAGCTAATTACATGCTAATTCACGTTATGCTTCAATGTTGCGTTAAAGCTGTACGGTTCAATATTCTAGTTAAGCAAACTAACCACGAATGAATCAATAAGCTTGCTTGAACTTTCTGATAAGTTATAATCAAGCTAATTGCAGCTTCAGTACAAATAAAATCGAGAGAATAACATCAAAGAAAACAAAAATATATAACAGGAATTAAACAAAAAACTTCAATTACAAATTTTAACAATAAACCCCCAAAAAATTTTATGTTTTGAGTAAGAAAGTGAAGCTAGGGAGAAGAATATACCGGTAGAAGGATCAAAGACAGACCAGAGCTTGGTCCGAAACTTGTAATCGGCGCTAAGAATGCGAACCCAGATGCGCTCTTCTTTGCCCTCGTCGTCAACGGCTTTGAGAATGGAACCCGCGATGCCGGGGACCAAGAGGACGGGGTCGAGATCGGGGTCAACGTAGGGCTGTGGCTTCTTCTTGAGGAAGCTCAACCACAGCTCCACTGATTCAACTATGTCCTCCAACAACATCGCCATCTCCAAACCCCCAATTCAATTCAATTCAACTCAACTCAACAATCTCTCTTTCTCTCTTTAAATATATATATATATATATATATGTAAATTATATGTATGCAAAGTGAATTTCTGGGAAGAGAAGGTATATAGAGATGAAATTGAGAGATTTTAGGGCTCAGATCTGATGGCGATGGAGACGGGATTGAGGAGAAAGAAAGGGTTTGGTGACGGTGAGAAGCCGTGACGTTATTGGAAAAGTGAGAGAGATGAATGACTCGAAGACAAACTGTCGGTATTTGACATTCACACATGTATAATACTTATGAATAATAATCAGTTGGTTTAGTTTTGGTTTCCAAAAAACCATTTTTTTTTTAAAAAAATTACGTTTTATTTTCTATATTTTTTTATTTTTAATCAATTTTTTTAATATTTTCAGTAATTTTTTAAAATTTTTAGACACATCTAACATAAATACACTTAAAAAATATAATATTTATGAAAAGAATCTTCAAAATATTCACTAAATACAAAAAATTAAAAAAATACAAAAAAATCAATACATTTTTCGTTTTTTTGTGTATTTATTAATTTTTAAAATATTTTTTTATAAATATTTTATTTTTTAGATATATCTAAGTAAGGTGTATTTAAAAAAATAAAAAGAATTGCTTATAATTTTAAAAATATTCACTAAAAATAAAAAAAATACCAAAAATAAAAACTCAATTTCTAAAAAATTGAATGTAGAAAACTGAAACCAAACACACTGAATAATTTTATAGAAGATATTGATCTCTACGCCCAATTAACAATGATAATACGTACACATAGGATCAATACATACAAAAATTATACATTCAGGCAACCCCCAGAATAATCGGGTGGTCAAGTTTGTCGATTGTAGTTATCATCTTATCAATTATGGTTGTTATTTTATTGATCGTGGTTATTATCTTGTCAATCACAATTGTCATTTTGTCATCCAATCGATTACCCGATCATCTGTCTGGTCGTCTGACCGATCATTTGAATAAATAATTTCTGTGTTTAATTCTGTATTTGATTTTCTATATGCCTAGCATTATTGTCCAATTAATTGGAAATTTAAATATTAGATTTTAGTTTTTAATTATGTTTCATGAATCTAGTATACATGTTTTTCTTTTTTAAAAAAAATTTCAAGATAAGACATTAAATTAATATATTTTAATCACTTGCACTTCGTTTGGATAGAAAGGTTTGGTAAGGAGGAAAACAAAAACAGAAATGGTGAGAATAGAAAACTTCTAACTTATTTGAATGGTTAAGTAAGATGAGAAATAATGAGAGATGGTGAGAAAAATATTTTCACCAAATCTATGTTTTGTTTTTCATCAAAAGTGGTGAGATTTTGTGAGAAATGTATTGAGTTTAATTAAAGTTTTCTAAAATATTAAAATTATCCTTATAAAAAAAACGTAACTTATTAATATGTAAAGTATTTTAGTAAAATAAAATATAACAATTTTCTTTATTTTATCTTATTTATTATATCTAAACAAGATAGGTAACAAGTCACATCATCTTCTCTTTTATTCATCAAAACATAATAATGAAAAATCATAATCATTTTCTTTTCTTTTCTTTTTTTACCTAAATAAAAAATTAAAATCATTTATTTTCTCACTTCATTTGACAACCAAAACGGAGTGTCAACTTTAAATATACATTTTTTTAGATAGAATTTTCGGCACGAAAGAATTGAACCTAGAAGCAAATCCAAACATATCATTTACTATTATTATTATGGACCGTGCTAGCGAGCTTGAAAACGAGCTCCCCCGAATCTCCCTAATTTCTATTTTTTTTTTCAGAAGCAGAGAAGGAGAAGAGAAGGAAGGAGGATGAGAAGGAAGGAGGAAGGAAGAGGAGGAGGAGGAGGAGTAGTGGACTGGAGGGGGCCATAACAGTGGGAGGAGGCGGAGGCGGAGGCGGGTAAAAAATAGAGCCCATACAATATAAAGATTTGAAGGATTAAATTAAGAAATTTAAAAAGAAAATCAACATCTCCAAAAAAGACCAAGTCCAAAATACATATAATATTTAAACTAAAAATAATATAAAATTAGACCTAATTTATAGGCTAAGTAATATGTCTGTGCAATATAATAATAATTGGAAAATGATTTGTCCCCCAAAATTCTTCTACCGAATTCCCCTAATGGCCAAAACGACGTCGTTTTGGCCATTAAGGGGATTCGGGGGAAGAATTTCGAGGGACAAATCATTTTCCTATTATTATTATATTGCACACACATATTACTTAGCCTATAAATTAGGTCTAATTTTATATTATTTTTAGTTTAAATATTATATGTATTTTGGACTTGGTCTTTTTTGGAGATGTTGATTTTCTTTTTAAATTTCTTAATTTAATCCTTCAAATCTTTATATTGTATGGGCTCTATTTTTTATTTTTTATATTTGATTGTCTTGGGCACTGGTAATTATAAAGTATTCTTTTAGGTACAAGTAATTTAAATCTATACTATATATTAAGTAAGCGGAGGTTTTTAACCCCAAGGTCTGTGGGAGGTTCAATATTTCAATTTGAATTTTTTTAATTTTTAATTTTTATTTAAAAAAAACTCAGTATTTATTGATTTGGTCAAAATTTTCTGATCAGTATTATTAACTTTTTTCAATCCACATGTCTTTTAACATGCCTACATTTATTGATTTGGTCAAAATTTCCTGATCAGCATTTAAAATCCCTTTATATAAATAATTATAGATACAATCCGTGTATAATTACTGCAGTACTCTTTTCAACTTCTCTCATACACTATAGTCAGTGATAAGATTGTTAAATTATTTTTATAAAAAATCTTAAAAAATATAATTTATATATTAAATTTTTTTAAAATAAATATAAACATTTATAATTATCTCGTACATAATATGGGTGATAGACTAGTTATAAAACGGGTGATAGACTAGTTATAAAGTATTGTGGAGTGGTGATTTCAAATTTCATTTGTCATGAAAAAAGGTTGATAAGTTTTAATTGTAATTGCGCTTTAATTTTTGCATTCTATTATTAACTGTCAAAGTCATGTGGCCCTCAACATTTATTACCAAACAGCCAAAAAGTGTTTGGGATTATTACTTAGAGAAAATAATTTGACAATTTAACTACACTGAAGTCATGTAAAAGCAAAAAATTAGATCAAGTTTTCCTATTATGAATTTATTTACAAAGAAGTCAAAATCCCATTATCAGTAAATGTCTCTTTTGGCATTTTTATTATTTATTATTTATAAAAAAGCAAATAGATAGTATCCAAATCATTTATTTCCAAAGCAGCCTGGGCTTTGAAAAAGAACAAGAACCTAAAACACAAGCCACTTTGGTTTTCCTAGACTTACCTATCTATCTATCTATTTATCTATTTATTATATATTATATAAAGAAAAGAGATTTCTAATAAGAAGACATGTAAAAATTCTAAAATTTTATTTTACAATTGTTAATTTTTGTAATTTTAAAAATATTTAAAAATAATTTTATTGGCTAACAAAGTAATTATAGATTCAAAAAAAAAAAACAAAAAACTACCTAAAATTTTGAATTACAAATTCTTAAAATCTCTCCCTCTAGTATTTTCTTATTTCCTAAATCTCATCTTATAACAAAGTAACTATACATTTAAAAAATATTATATATTAAAAAAAAACACAATTCCCATCTCATAACAAAGTAATTATAAATTTTAAAAGAAAAAACATTATGGATTAAAAAGAAAGTAAAACCACAATTGCTAATTTTTGTAAATTTAAAAATATTAAAAAGTAGTACTATTAGCTAACAAAGAAACTGTAAATTTATTTTATTTTTTTAAAAAAAAAAAAACTAAAAGCTTTCCTAAATCTCATCCCATAACAAAGTAACTATCCATTAAAAAAATATTATATATTAAAAAAAAAAACACAAATCTCATCTCATAACAAAGTATAATTATATATTTAAAAAAAAATATTATAGATTAAAAAGAACGTAAAACCACAATTGCTAATTTTTTTAATTTTAAAAATAGTTCTATTGACTAACAAAGTAACTATAAATTAAAAAGCTTTTCTAAATCTCATCTCGCAACTATACATTAAAAAAAAAACACAAATCACATCTCATAACAAAATAATTATATATTTTTTTTAAAAAAAACTACAGATTAAAAAGAAAGTAAAACCACAATTGCTAATTTTTGTAATTTTAAAAATATTTAAAAATAATACTATTGACTAACAAAGTAACTATAGATTAAAAAAACTAAAATTGCAAATTTTTGTAATTTTAAAAATATTTAAAAATAATGCTATTGGCTAACAAATAACTATAGATTTAAAAAATAAATAAATTGAATTACAAGTTTCTAAATCTCTCTCTTAATATTTATCTCTTTCTTAAATCTCATATTCTATCTATCTATCTATGCTACAAATTCATAAAATCTCTCCCCCAAATATTTCTTTCTTTCATAAATCTCATCTCATAACAAAGTAACTATTTATTAAAAAAATATTATACATTAAAAATAAAAAATAAAAACACAAATCTCTTCTCTTAACAAAGTAACCATATATTTAAAAAAAAAATTATAGATTAAAGCTTCGTTTGGGAGCAGGTTATTTTAGTAACTTTTTGACTTTTTAGCTAAAATATGAAGTAAAAAAAACTTTTATATTTAAAATGACTTTTTGATTTTTTACGAAAAGATGTGCAAAAAGTAGAGAGAAAAGGGAATCTTTGACTTTTTAGTATAGGTTATAGACTTTTTAATTTTTTAGTAACTTTTTGACTTTTAAACTAAAACTATTACTTCACAAACGAGGCCTAAAAAGAACGTAAAACCACAATTCCTAATTTTTGTAATTTTAAAAAATTTAAAAATAGTACAATTGGCTAACAAAGTCTATAAATTAAAAAAAAAAAACTAAAATTGCAAATTTTTATAATTTTAAAAATAATACTATTGGCTAACAAAGTAACTATAGATTATTAAAAAAAAATAAAAATTGAATTACAAGTTCCTAAAATCTCTCTCCTAATATTTATTTCTTTTCTAAATCTCATAATCTATCTATCTAACTATCTATGTTAAGCAAAGGCTTTTGTTTTTTGGCTTTTTGGGCTAAAATTCACAAAATGACAAAATAAACTAAAATTGCCAATAAGATAAAATGTCACATCAAATCCATAATCATTTCATTTTTTCTCTCATAAACATCACATCCAACTAC